TTACCTTGACCTTTCCTTTGAACTTGATCTCACTTTTCTTAAATTAGTTTTTAGCTTAGTTTAAAAGAAACTTTTGAAGATATTTTTCTCAAACTTCATATTCTAATACATACTAATGTAAGCAATTCAACTGCATCAACATTTTTTACCTTGACCTTCATTTAACCTTGACCTAACTTTTATCAATTTGTGTTTACCTCAGTTTTAAAGAAACCATTCATAATATTTTTATCAAATTCCATATGCTAATACATACTGATGTAAGCTTTTCAACTGCATCAACATTTTTTGACCTTGACCTTTCCTTTGACCTTAACTTCATTTATTCATCAAAATATTCATATCAAACTTGATTTGCTGATATGTATTTGTGAGAACTATTCAACTGCATCAAAAATGTTTGACCTTGAACTTTCCTTTGACTTTGACCTCACTTTTCTTCGATTTGCATTTTGCTTAGTTTTAAAGAAACCATTTATTATAAGATGTATTTATGTAAGCTTATGCACTTATACATAATTTGGTGAGAATTTATCATCTATATCCAACTACCGTTCACGGTAGCTCAGTCGGTAGAGCGCTCGCTTCGTGATCGGGAGGTCGTGAGTTTGAATCTCGGCCGCGACTGACCTAAGTCGATAAAAAATGGGTAGCAACTGTTCCTTCGCCATGCGCTCGGCACTTTGAAGTGAAAGTTGCGGGTCCTTCGGATGAGACCTTAAAAACCGAGGCCCCGTGTCACAGCAGGCGTTGGCACGATAAAGATCCCTCACTGCTCAATGGCCCTGAGTGCCGAGTAAAGGTCAAAATTTGAAGCCTTTCACCGGTACATGGTGACGTCTCTATATGAGTGAAAAATTCTCGAATGGGACGTAAAACAACATACAATCAATCAATCAATCTATATCCAACTTTTTAGATTTCAATTTTAAAGAAACTATTCAAGATATTCTCATCAAATTTCATACACTTATTAGGTCACCTGAGTCACTCAGGTGACCTATTGCTATCCGTTCTCGTCCGTCGGCGTGCGTCGTGCGTCGTGCGGTGTGCGTCGTGTGTTAACATTTGAACATTTTTAGCTTCTTCTCTGAAACCGCTTAACCAATTTCAACCAAATTTGGCATATAGCACCTATGGGTAAAGGGGAACAAAAATTGTGAATTCCATGGTCCCTGCCCCCCTGGGGCCTGAGGGGTGGGGCTAAAACCACCAAAAATAATGCAATCTTTAAAAATCTTCTTCTTTACTCCTGGACATCAAGCAGTCAAACTGTTGGCATCATTGTAATAAGCATTGAGTCCTCTACCAAAATTGTGAAATTCATGGCCCCAGGGTCAGGGGTTCTGGCCCCAGGGTGGGGCTATATAGATCATATAGGGAAAGTGCATTATTTCTTTGAAAATCTTCTTCTCTGCTCCTGGGTATTAAATAAAGTAACTAAGTACATAGTTATGAAGAACAAGAGTGCCTCTTTCAAAATTGTGAAATTCATGGCCCCAGGATCAGGGGTTCTGGTGTTAGGGCGGGGCTCTATTGATTATATAGAGAAAATGCATTAATTCTTTGAAAATCTTCTTCTCTGCTCCTGGGTATTAAATAAATTTACTAAGTATATAGTTATAATGAGCAAGAGTGCCTCTTTCAAAATTGTGAATTTCATGGCCCCTGGGTCAGGGGTTCTGGTGTTAGGGCAGGGCTCTATTGAGTATATAGTGAAAATGTATTAATTCTTTGAAAATCTTCTTCTCTGCTCCTGGGTATTAAATAAAGTAACTTAGTACATATTTATGATGAGCAAGAGTGCCTCTTCCAAAATTGTGAATTTCATGGCCCCAGGGTCAGGGGTTCTGGTGTTAGGGCAGGGCTTTATTGATTATATACATTAGTTAAAATGCATTAATTCTTTGAAAATTTTCTTATCTGCTCCTGGGTATTAAATGAACTAATTTAGTACATAGTTATGATGAGCAAGAGTGCCTCTTCCAAAATTGTGAATTTCATGGCCCCAGGGTCAGGGGTTCTGGTGTTAGGGCGGGTCTCTATTGATTATATTGTTAAAATGCATTAATTCTTTGAAAATCTTCTTATCTGCTCCTGGTTATTAAATGAACTAATTTAGTACTTAGTTATGATGAGCAAGAGTGCCTCTTCCAAAATTGTGAATTTCATGGCCCCAGGGTCAGGGGTTCTGGTGTTAGGGCGGGGCTCTATTGAATATATAGTGAAGATGCATTAATTCTTTGAAAATCTTCTTATCTGCTCCTGGATATTAAATGAACTAAGTTAGTACATATTTATGATGAGCAAGAGTGCCTCTTCTGAAATTATGAATTTCATGGCCCCAGGGTCAGGGATTCTGGTGTTAGGGTGGGGCTCTATTGATTATATAGTGAAAAGGCATTAATTCTTTGAAAATCTTCTTCTCTGCTCCTGGGTATTAGATAAACTAACTTAGTATATAGTTATGATGAGCTAGAGTGCCTCTTTCAAAATTTTGAATCTCATGGCCCCAGGATCAGGGGTTCTGGTGTTAGGGCAGGGCTCTATTGATTATATAGTAGAATTGCAATAGTTTTCTCTGTTTCTGGGTATTAAGTACATAGTTATGAAGAACAAGAGTGCCTCTTTCAAAATTGTGAATTTCATGGCCCCAGGGTCAGAGGTTCTGGTGTTAGGGTGGGGCTCTATTGATTATATAGTTAAAATGCATTAATTCTTTGAAAATCTTCTCTGCTCCTGGGCATTAAATAAAGTAACTTAGTACATAGTTATGATGAGCAAGAGTGCCTCTTCCAAAATTTTGAATTTCATGGCCCTTGGGTCAGGGGTTCTGGTGTTAGGGCAGGGCTCTATTGATTATATAGTAGAATTGCATTAATTCTTTGAAAATCTTTTTCTCTGCTCCTGGGTATTAAATAAACTAACTAAGAACATAGTTATGGTGAGCATGACTGCCTTTTCAGAAATTGTTTCATGGCCCTTGGGTCAGGGGTTCTGGTGTTAGGGATGGGCTCCATTGATTATATAGTAAAATTGCATTAATTCTTTGAAAATCTTCTCTGCTCCTGGATATTAATTAAACTAAGTACATAGTTATGATGAGCATGGCTGCCTCAGAAATTATGAATTTAATGGCCTCTGGGTAAGGGGTTCTGGTGTTAGGGCGGGACTTTATTGATTAGATAGGGAATTGGCATGAATTCTTTCAAAATCTTGTGTGCGCCTGGGTATTTTTCAAACAAAGGAAGTGCATGGTTATGATAAGGAAGAATGCCTCATGGCCTTTGGGTCAAGGGTTCTGGTGAGGGGGAAAGAGCTCTATTGATTATATATAGTGAAAATGCATAATTTCTTTCAAAATATTTTTTCTACTACTGGTTATAAAGTAAAGAAACAAGTGTATAGTTATAATGAGAAAGGGTGCTTCTTCCAGAATTGTGAGTTCGTGGCCAATGGGTCAGATGTTCTGGGTAAGGATGGGGCTTTATTTATTTAATTTTATGGTGAAAATGCATTTCTTTGAAAATCTTCTATGCTTCTGGGGATGTTCAAGGCAAACAGAGTAAAAGTTTTAATATGCAAGGGTATTTTTACCAGATTTTTGAACACCTGGACCATTTAGTCAAGTGTTCTAGTCCTGGCCAGGGCTCTATTAACTTGTATTCTGCTGAGCAAAGTTATTCCCCTTTGCCATTCACCTTTGATAATTAATCAATGTAAATAATGTATTTGAAAGCTTAATAGAATAAGAGAATTATGCAAGATAATTTATTGTATAATGAAAATGTACTTTCATAGATTTAATGACTTGGAAAGTCAGATAGGCAGATAGATACTATACCAATTATTTTGTTGATGCTAATCATACTATTTTTCTTGCTTTTGGGCAACAAAGCTTCATTTTTCAGTTTATGGATCCTCTAAATTGTTGTATTGTACTCAGGTGACCGTTAAGGCCCTTGGGCCTCTTGTACAAATTATTGCATTATTAATATACCCTCGGTGGGGCCTTCATGTCCTATGGACATATTTCTAGTTTAAATGAAAATTGCTTAGAAAAGAAGTGTTATCACTGCTTTGAAATTAATTATGATGAAGAGTGGAAAAATACCGTCTCGTGTGGGTAAGTTGAAATTTTCATGAACCCGCAACATGAAGTCTAACTGATCCTCTTACTCTATGACTGCATATGTAGATCAAACATTGACCACTGCCCCACCAAGGACTTGAGTATTAAACTGATACACATACTTAAAAATTATTTAGCTATCTTGCACCTGTTGTAAACAGCCCCCAATAATGAGTTAACATTCTTCACATGGAACCTTAGAATCAGTTGAAGGGCTTATAAACTCTGTATTTACACCTTTATGTGGTACGTATAGTTTTCTTAGTGCCCCAAAATCTTATTTTAATTATAAGTGTATACATAGAGGCTACTTAAAGATACATATATTAATGAACAAGGGGCCACAATTACCACATGGTATTTTAATGAATATTGTCTGAAGAAAAGTAAGTTGTTTATTTCTGAACCTAGCTTTTAACATTTCAATCTTTAATATTCATTGAAACTCTGGTAAAAAAGATAACTCTGACTGGTACAGTATAATGCATGACTATTATTCCTTCAATAAATGTCAAGTTTACCTGCCCTTTATGTAAAATTTTGCTATGCAAAGTATGTTGACATTGTGTGTATTTTAATTATGAATAAGATTTCTTTACTAGGACAATTAAAAGCATTAAGGAAAATATTTTATATGAGTAAGCAAAAGGACAAGGAACCTTGAGAACCTTTCACTGGAAAAAAAAAAGAGTTGAAATACTCAGAGAACATATGGGTTAATTTTACCAAATTGGGAGTTCTGTAACCTCACTTAAATACAAGCCTGGAAAAACTGGATGCTCTAGTGCCATATAATTTGAAATTTAAGGAAAATATTAACTTTTGTCCTGGGACATATACTGATAAATTTTTATTTTTATCTAGATGGAACCTAGACGATCTGGGAGGATTCGACGACGCCCTGCCTGGCACAGCGACTACGTGATGGACTTCCCGGTAAGTATAAAAAACACAAATTCTCCCTGTCTGATTGGAAAATATTGGTACTTTTAGTTTTATTGTTTTATTAGTTTTATAGTTTTATTTTTTCTATAATTTTACAGAAAGATTTAGTTAGTTGTGGTTATTTTCAACTTTCATTTTTTTTTAGCTTACATGAGCTGAAAGCTCAAGTGAGCTTTTCTGATCACATTTTGTCTGTAGTCCGTCTGTCTGTCTGTCCGTCTGTAAACTTTTCACATTTTCGACTTCATCTCCAGAACCACTGTGCCAATTTCAACCAAACTTGCCACAAAGCATCCTTGGGTGAAGGGGGTTAAAGTTTGTTCAAATGAAGGGCCATGCCCTCTTCAAAGGGGAGATAATTAAGAATTTGTGAAAATTTGGTGTCATCTTTTAAAAATCTTCTTCTCAAGAACCATTGGGCCAGAGAAGTTGACACTTATGTGAAACCTTCATTACATAGTGTAGATTCAAGTTTGTTCAAATCATGACCCCCAGGGGTAGGGTGGGCCACAATGGGGAATCAAAGTTTTACATAGGAATATATAGCAAAAATCTTAAAAAATCTTCTTCTCAAGAACAACAGAGCCACAATTAGTCATATTGATATGGAATCATCTTCAGGTAGAGTAGATTCAAGTTTGTTCAAATCATGACCCCCAGGGTTAGGGTGGGGCCAGAATGGGGGATCAAAGTTTTACATAGGAATATATAGGAAAAATCTTTAAAATTCTTCTTCTTAATAACAACAAAGCCACAATTATTCATATTGATATGGGATCATCCTCAGGTAGTGTAGATTCAAGTTTGTTCAATTCATGACTCCCCGGGGTAGGGTGGGGCCAGAATGGGGGATCAAAGTTTTACATAGGAATATATTGGAAAAATCTTGAAAAATCTTCTTCTCAATAACAACAAAGCCACAATTAGTCATATTGATATGGAATCATCCTCAGGTAGTGTAAATTCAAATTTGTTCAAATCATGACTCCCCGGGGTAGGGTGGGGCCAGAATGGGGGATCAAAGTTTTACATAGGAATATATAGGAAAAATCTTTAAAAATCTTCTTCTCAATAACAACAAAGCCACAATTAGTCATATTGATATGGAATCATCCTCAGGTAGTGTTGATTCAAGTTTGTTCAAATCATGACCCCCAGGGGTAGGGTGGGGCCACAATGGGTCATCAAAGTTTTACATAGGAATATATAGAAAAAAATCTTTAAAATCTTTTTCTACAGAACAACAAAGCCATGATTAGTCATATTGAATATGGAATCATCCTTAGGTAGTGTCGATTCAATTTTTTTTTCAAATCATGACCTCTGAGGGTAGGGTGAGGCCACAAAGTTTTACATAGGATAAAAAATTTACATAGGAATGTATAGGAAAAATCTTTAAAAATCTTTTCAAGAACAGGAAAGCCATGATTAATCATATTGATATGGAAGCATCCAGGTATTGTAGATTCAAGTTTGTTCAAGGCATCCTCCAGTGGTAGGGTGGGGCCATAATGGGGGATCAAAGTTTTACAATAGAACATGTATAGGAAATATCTTTAAAAAATCTTCTCAAGAACAACAAAGCGATGATGAGTCATATTGATATGGAAGCATCCTCAGGTAGTATAGATTCAAGTTTGGTGACAGGCGATCAAAACTTTACATATGAATATATAGGAGGAAAATCTGCTGACGAAGAACAACAGGGCTATATTGACTCAGGTGAGCATTGTATCCCATGGGCCTCTTGTTTAATTATCTATCCCAGCTTGTATTAGGGCTGTTTATATTGAGCAAAAAATTTTGATAAGATGCAATTATTTTGGATTCTTTCTAATGCGTGAATTCTACAAGAACTGGGTTTTCTTCATAACTCATTTCATAGTTCTTGTCTCACTGTCACTACAAAATACACTTTAACATCTGTAAATTCAACGTGTTGAAGTCATGGCTGTAGGAACCGATATATAGATTACTTATAATAGAAAATATAGCTATTATATGCTTGTGCCCCCTCAATAAAAATGTCTGATTACCCTTTTTTTATTTGCTTGTCAAGGAATTTTTTGAAGTTGATAGTGCCCCCAACTGAAAATGTATGACTGTGCCCCCCCCCCCAAAAAAAAAACTGAAATTGCTTCCTACTGGCCTGGAAGTACGTACAGCACTAGTTGTCTCTGTGTTAAGTAATATTATTAGGAATGTTCTGTCTCCTTAAAGCTGACATGAGCTCTTAAAAAGGCATTATTTTTCATCCTTGTACAAATTATTTCATTCCCACATGTGAATGTGAATTATTTCTAGACATGTAATAATTTCAACAGTCAAAGCATATAGAAAGATACTAGAGGAAATTGTCTATTAGATGTGTCCATCTCCCAGCCCAAAATAGATTTTCTTGTTTATTTATTTTTCTAAAAATTTCTTGTCTGGATCCATCTGAAATCTTTTGAAATTTTATAACGATAGTTAGTGAATGGGTTTCAATCTGATCAGCAGATCAGCATGGACTAAGTGTATCGACGCTTAGACTGTACATTGTATACTTAACAGTTACTGTCGAGTTTTTATGGAGTTTATCACTTTTTTGTGATGCATATTTCAATAAATGGAATTCAGGGTGTAAATCACTAGGAATGTGCACATTTTCGAACCATTGCAGTGGTCTTATTACCAGGTATGAATAAGTTTACAGCATTCGACATGTTTTCTGGACATGCATCAAGTGCATGTGGATATGTGCAGTAAAGATACTGGTTGTTTGTTCCATTCTAATGATAGATAATTTCAAATTGTGTTCACAAAGTTTACTGCTTATTATTTCAGGGTTTTTAATGCATATATTGGCGACTACTTTAAAAAAATACATGTGCAACTATATTTTTCAGTTCCAAACTTGCATTTTTTTATACCCCCCGCAAACGAAGTTTAGGGGGGGGGTATATTGGAATCAGCTTGTCCGTCTGTCTGTAGACGAGATTTTGTCCGGACTATTTCTTAGAAACTGTTGCAAGGATTTGTCTGAAAATTTGTACACTTATTCTTTACCATATGAAGGTGTGCACCTGATATTTTCATCATGATTGGATAATTTTTTGCATTTTACAGGTGTTTTTTTCATTTTCATTATGTGGTTTTGTCCGGATCTGTTCCCAGAGACTATTGCATAGATTTGTATGAAAATATGTACACTTATTATTTACCATATGAAGATGTGCACCTGGTATTTTCAACATTATTTGATAATTTTTCTGCATTTTACAGGTTTTTTTTTTTTTCATTTTTATTGACTTAGTCATTTCGGGTTCATGTCTAAGGTTTGAGACTTAGAATCTAGAACATCTGTACAAAAATGTGAACTACAGCTTAAAACTGCTCATTAGAACTTTAAAAAAAAACACAAAGTATTAAAAACAGTTTTTACATTACACAGCGATAGTGTAAATCCATTTGTCCCTTGGGAGTTATGAGTGGACATGCATCCAGTTAAAGATTAATAAATGAGTTCAGTGTGGACGGTTTGTGTAGCAGCTGAATCCAAGCCTATTCCATTCAGCCGAACCCGGACTCATCAGCGATTTGTTAGGGCATCTCTGATCAAGCAGGTCTTATCTATATCTCCTGGGAATTGGGCAGAAAGAAATAAAGATCTCTGTTGTCTAAGTCTCTTAATTGTAATTTATGTCTGTCAAAATACATAGTTACTGGAACCAGCCTTTTATTTTTAAAATGAGTTTGACATAAAGGTATTAAGATCAATTTGATTTTGTATAATTAATTATGATTTTTTTTTTTTTTCAACAATCAATTTGCATAGTGTCATGTCTCACAAAGATGACAGATAGTTGCAAACTATTTTTTCAATGTAATAAAAAACACTGTAATTACTAGTATTGATGTTTTATTAGGCTGCACCTTAGTTTCAGTCATTAACAAAAAATATAATGAGTAATTAAATTTTCAGTCTAAATGTTTAAGCAAATTGTGAACATCTCTCACATCTAGAAATCGTTAGTGATTTGGTACCTTCTCTGAAAAACCCAGCGGGGGTATTTGTCCCTTTTGGACAGTTCTAGTTTACATTTGTAATTCAAAACAATAAAAATTTATAAATATTGTTATAACTGTTTATATCTGTTGTGGTTTTGATACGTTTTAATGAATTCATGTGTTTCCAAATGCTTTACCATCGAAGATGAGCATAAGTCGATAGTCAAACCAAAAATTCACTCAAGTGTAACAAGCACATGGAGGTATATATCGTAACAATAAGACAGGTATCTGAAAGAAATATGGTAGAATACAGCAATGGTTTGTATGAGACAGTTGTACATAGATGAAAATGTCACATTTTTAGGAATTCATGTCAGCTTTAATGTTTAAATCATTATTGATCAGATTTAATTTGGAACAGTCAAATATAATCTTTGGTGATTGAAATTTCCAACTGTTTTACAGATTGAATTATAAGAAAAACTGCCTCATGGACACATATTCCCATTTTTTTAGGTCACCTGTGTCACTCAGGTGACCTATTGCTGTTTTCCTCCGTCGTCGTGCATGGTCCGTCAGTTGCAGACTCTTGAACATTTTTAGCTTCTTCTCTGAAACCACTGAACCAATTTCAACCAATTTTCACATATAGCATCTATGGGTGATGGGGATTAAAAATTTTGAAATTCGTGGCCCCTGTCCCCCTGGGGCCTAAGGAGTGGGGCTAAAACCACCAAAATTAATGCAATCTTTAAAAATCTTCTTTACTCCTGGATATCAAGCAGTCAAACTGTTGGCATGATTGTAATAAGCATTGAGCCCTTAACCAAAATTATGAAATTCATGGCCCCAGGGTCAGGGGTTCTGGTGCTTCCTCTTCCAAAATTGTGAAATTTATGGCCCCGGGGACAGGAGTTCTGGTGCTAGGGCCGGGCTATATAGATCCTATGGTGAAGGTGAATTATTTCTTTGAAAATCTTCTTCTCTGCCCCTGGGTA